TTTTAAATTATTTATTATAAATAACATCAGCTATTTTTTCTATACTCGCTACTCATTCTATAATTTATGTCTTATTCATTTCATTCAATTTCTTTTACATCACCAACAATATTATTATCTTTGCCAAAAGAAACAACCCTTTTATTTAATTCATATTTAAATTAACGTACTTGCTATAGTTTACTATTAAACTTATCAAGAACATCAATTAGCATACTTTGCATATATTTTTATAGTCTTACGTCAGAAACACCATTTCATATTTAAGTTAATGTATCTGTTATAAATTGATACTCAAATATATTAAATACAAACAGATAAATAAGAAGTATGCTATAAAAAGATTTGTAGTGATCATTGGAGACTCTTTAGTTGCCAAGAAAGTAGGGTTCATTTAATGTGATGAAATTTTCCTAAGTAAATTTACTTCTTTTATTATTTATATAATATATAATAATTATAAAATATACCAGAAAAGTTTATATCTTTAGTATATTTTATAGTCTTACATATATATGAATGAATATTATTTTGAGAAAACATTATACTATAAGTATTATTAACTTTTTAATAGTTATTTATAAATTATGATGATTATATATTAATCAACTAAATAACGAAACTATTTTTTTGTAACAACTTTAATATGTATATATATATATATATATCATGAATACAGTTATTGTTGATAAGGTAAGAAACCAAATCTATAAAAAATGATCTAATTGCACATTAAATTATAATTTAGAAGAAGAAAATATTTAATTCACTTGATATGTATCTCTCTTGTTTTTGTCATTTATAAAAATAATAAATTATTTGATCCGTTTGATTTGCATTTCTCCTGCATGATCCGCTTGATCTGCAGTTTTCCCACTTGATCTGCATGATCTGCTTGATCTGCACCGCTTGAACTGCTTTTACCATTGTACTATGAAGAAAAAAAAGAGATGGGGCACGTGCTCCCATAAGTCTTTAGCTGAATGGCCTTGCTAGAGCGCCTACATCCCCTGGCTTTACTCTGCCTTTCACAAGGGTGATGTTGATTTGCAAAAATTGAGACCCAACATGATAGCTCAAGAAATTTTCAGATGTGTAATGAGGGATGGCTGATTTAAGTTTTATATGGGAATGTAACAGTAATGACCGTTGTGGTTATATGATCGGATCACCAAAAAGCTTGTTGTTGTCAAGATCGATTAATTTGGTAAATAATCTATTGACCGATTAATTACAGTATCGACGGCTGTCTAGTCCTTTAAAAGAAAATTTCCCTAATATTTTACAAGTCTAATGTATACTATTAATTTAGCAACAACAAAAAAATCATAAGTATTGCCAGTTTGCCACAATATGCATTATCATGTGTTTTATGCAATCTTGTTTGCTAGCTCATAATAGAAATGACAAAACTATTTGTTCAAGTCGTTTTTAATTGATAAATATTTTACATATTCAATGGATTAACCCAAACAATCTTAATTTTAAAATCTCTACTCATTAATTGTACATCTAACATCAATATTGGATGTGTAAGGGTTTTAATATAAAACATATAAAATTAAGGAGGGAACAATTTATTTTAGTTTCATATATGTTTAGTAGTAATATGTTAATAGTATGTTATGTGGTTAATGATTACGTAGCTATATAAATCTAACAGTATTTTATAGTATGTCATGTGGCTAGTTCTTACATAACTATATAAATCTAATAATGCATAGATTTCTTGGGGTATTATTAAATATAGTGTGTAATTACTAATTAACTATATAAATCAGACTATATATACTTATAATGAATCAAATGTGAGAAGGAGACAAATCAGGGAACAAATGAAAAATGTAGAGATTACCTAATATTCTGTTGTTTAATTTAAATAATGAATTAATATTTATTTGAATTTTTAAAGTAATGGTATTGCTGTAAATAATTTAAAAATAAAGGAGACTTCAAAAGATCTTCTATATGAATAGTATAGATTAAAACATCTGGATACGATTTGCACCGGGGGATGATTTACGCCAAAAATGATATTAGTGCCACCTGGTCCCCGACCTAGAGGGATTATTTGGGGTGAAGTCCAAGATAACTCTTATTTTAGTATACAAAAAAATCAAAATATTAATATATAAAAACAAAGGAATACGAAAATTTTAAAATCCAGCTATTATATTATTTGTGAAGTAATTTTTTGCACTCGACTTCTCACGTTAAAAGTTAGAGTGATTAATATCGATTTACATTTAATTAATAAAAATATCTATTCGTAACAAAATAAAATAACGAATTTAATTTCTTTTATTAGATAAATGATTATATTTTACAATAATAAGAATGATCTAAAATCTAATAATATAATTTTAAAATTAAAAGATAATACCTATACATATTGTATGTATCTGAAAGTATTTTAATAAAGCAGTTAAAAATTAAAAAAAAAACAGAAAACACTTACTAAATAATTATCAAGTAAATTTTTAATTTATATAATTAAAAATAGGATATTGAGTGATTTTTAAGATTTATTTATATATAATAAATATAGTGTACAAACAAATTTTCAAAAAAATATATATAATAAGAATTTTTTAAAAATGAAAACATAAATGATAATTTATCATTATAGTCTTTTAATTAGTAATGCATGTATTAATTAATAAATAATTATAAAATGTATATTCTTGTATTCGCGAGGAATACAAACTTTTTTTACAAATTTTGTTTGATCTTGGGAAATCCCTGGGTGAGTCTCTCGGCTCAAGATCCAGTAATCTACTACTCCATCCGTTTCAAATTATATGTCATTCTAGAATAAAATTTCGTTTCAAAATAATTGTCGTTTTATAATTGCAATACAAAATTTACTGATTTTAAATGTATTTCTATTTTTTCATTGTTTGAAAAGTGGTTCGATATATAGGTGTTTGTGTTTTTATTTTAAAAATATGTAAAATTTATTATTTTCTTAATATGTGTGCAAAAATTTAGAATGACAACTAAATTGAAAGAGATAGAGTATTACATATACCATGAGTTACAACTATATTTTCAATGGACATTGAGATAAAGTTTAAATAATATAGAAAATATAATACACTCATTATCAACTAAATTTTGAAAACATAATATCTCGACTTTAACCTCTCTAGCTCACTAACCTGCTCACTGTCGACTCTCGTGGTATCCCTAGCTACAATTCTCCGGTTAATTTTCTTCTCAATTAGTGAATTCTTAGTTTACATATGCTCACTGCATGCAGATTCATGTGATTGTTACTCTATTAACAAAATAATGGGACGCTCGACCCATCCACCACGTGAAACCTCATGTTCAAAATTCTAGTTTTATAGAATACTCGTTTTTCTTTGTCCCAACGTTTTAGTCAATAGAAACCCCCAAACGACGTCGTAAGTGCATGTGTAGAGGCTCCCACTACCATGATTGACATTGACATGGTTTAGTAACTTCATTTTCCAACGACCAACATAAATTCCACGAGGCAATTTGGCAGGTGCATCGTACCAATATTTTCTAAATAAGTATATTTTTGTACTGTCTAAAAAATAAGTATATTCCTCCGGATATAAGATCGACCAAAATATACGGTTCATATATTTCGAATTCACTTTAACTATACGAATTTACTGAATTTATTAGTTGTTTTCATCTTATCTATTCATTCTAAGGGTCCACATCATAAACAAAAATTAATCGATTTAAATAAAACATTTTTCTATATCTACAAAGAAATTCTTTGAAGAAGAGTTAAGGGTTCTGGTTCTCCCGCCATCACCCACAAACGCTGTTTTTCCGGTTGGTAGCGGTTGTTTGCGTTTTACAACAATCACAGAAAACACTATAAACCGCTTCAAATTGCTCTGAATCTCTAAAATCCAAAAGCTGGTTTCAGCCAGCGTTTGCGGGCGATTGCGGGAGGATAAAATATATATTTTTTCCAAAAAACTGTATAAATATAAAAATAAAATATTCAGTTAAAATTTTAAATTAAAGTAATTGAAATACTGAAATATTTATATTATAAAAGTTCTAAAAAATATTTTCTTTAATTTTAAAAATTTAATAGTGCAGTTTTTAAATAAAATTTTTATATTTATCATGAAAATATGATTTTAATAGTTTGATAATTATATGAAGTATAAATATTTTTAATTTATTACTTAACCGCTGTTGTATTTGATGATAAACCAGTCATAAGTATCCCGCAAATGCAACATTTTTGAACTGTTGAACCAGTCGTATAAATCTCTTACTAACGCTTAAAACCGTAATCTCCCGTATCCGCAAACGCCTGCAACCGCAATCGCAATCTATGCGTTGTAACCGGTCAGACCCTTACTCTCGTTCCCCAAAAAGACATATACAGTATATGATGTGATATTAAATGTGACAAAGGCATATCAATCTACCTACCAAAAATGATATATATACATTCACGACAACGTACCGTAATGTGGCTAGTACAATAAGGGAACACACTTCGAACGAAACTGAGGAGATTAAAAATCAATCATGTTGATATTAGCATGGTTGTCCGCAAGAACCAAAGGCAGAAGACCCGAAAAGTTTTACATGTTAAAAATCAATCATGTAGAAACTACACTTTGCTTTCACTGTAACAAAGAAAAACAATGTTTCCAAAGAAAACCCATCTATCCGTAGAAAAATACTGTTTTGCAGGATTGTTTTAATGCATATATAACACGAGGATTTTTGGCAGGTGACCAACAAAATGATTAAAAAGTATGAATTTATTCTATTATTATCATTTAATTAATTTTTTTTTATCCCTACAAAGTTCAATATGATGACATTCATCACTAGATAGACCAAATCGGTCCAACTCCAATGCCTTCCACACTGCTTCGTCCTCACCACATAACGGGGTATTATCGTCATCTCACATGCACCTACCTAAGTTGATACCACATTATAAATAACAAGGTGAAAGAAAGGTCCAAGGAAAAACAATTAGCACAATTACAACTCCTTTTCTTCCTATCCTTACAATGGATACCATAGCCTCAAACTCTTCGGACCTCACGACCAAAACTAGTCTCCAAACATCTCCGTTTAGCAATATGTATTTCCTCACAACACTTCAAGCTCTTGTAGTCATTTCTCTCTTAATGATATTCAAGAAAATAAAGTCATCTTCACAGAACAAGAAGTTGCACCCTCTCCCGCCGGGTCCCAGTGGGTTTCCACTCGTAGGAATGGTTCCAGCGATGCTTAAAAACCGTCCGGTTTTCCGGTGGCTTCATAGCCTCATGAAGGAGCTTAACACGGAGATAGCTTGTGTGCGTCTAGGAAACACTCACGTCATTCCAGTCACATGTCCTAAGATAGCACGTGAGATTTTCAAGCAACAAGACGCACTCTTTGCGTCAAGACCACTCACTTACGCTCAAAAGATACTCTCCAACGGCTACAAAACCTGCGTGATCACACCCTTCGGTGAGCAATTCAAGAAGATGAGGAAAGTGATTATGACGGAGATAGTTTGCCCCGCAAGGCACCGATGGCTACATGACAATAGAGCTGAAGAAACCGATCATCTAACCGCTTGGCTTTACAACATGGTTAGAAACTCTGAACCGGTCGATCTCCGCTTTGTTACAAGGCATTACTGTGGTAATGCTATTAAGAGGCTTATGTTTGGAACGAGGACGTTCTCGGAGAAAACTAAAGCCGATGGTGGGCCAACCATTGAAGATATTGAGCATATGGAAGCTATGTTTGAGGGGTTAGGGTTTACGTTTGCGTTTTGTGTATCGGATTATCTACCCATGCTTACGGGATTGGATCTAAACGGACATGAGAAGATCATGAGAGAAGCTAGTGCAGTTATGGATAAATATCATGATCCTATTATTGATGAGAGGATTAAAATGTGGAGAGAAGGAAAGAGAACTCAGATTGAAGATTTTCTAGACATTTTTATCTCTATCAAGGACGCAGATGGCCAGCCTTTGCTTACCGCTGATGAAATCAAACCGACCATTAAGGTAATATTTTTACATGTTACTTTAGATGTCTGTTGTTATATGGTATAGACTGATAATACTTTAGCGTTTTCTCTTATTAGTGATAGAAACTTGATGGGTTTGTACGTTTTTTAGATCGATATACTTTCTATATGAAAACAATAAGAAGGGCAAAAAAAAAATATCTGACAGTTGAGGAACTTTAAAGAAAATTAACCTCAAAACCAAAATACTTATATATAGTTGAAAAGGTTTATTTTTTGTTTTGGAATTAAAAGGCTGAACTAAATTATTGTTTCCTAGTTTTAGCAAATTTTAAATTGAAGTAATGGTGAGAAAGTTTAGAAAATAATTTATTTGGTTCTATTACTATATAGACGATCTAAAATTTTAAAGTAAATACTAGATTTTGACCCGCGCTTAAGAAGCGCGGGTATTAATTTTCTTAACCGTAAAGTCAAATATTTCGGAATAGATACTTAGATGGGTTTTGATGGTGTTTTTGAATTTGATTGAGTTGAAGGTAAAAGGGGTCCGAGATAGCTTGTATTTATGAAAAGAGAGGTTTGTTGTTAATTTAGGTTAAGAGAAGATATCAAAGAATATTTTGTAATCAATTTAGATTTCTCAAAATCATGGTAGAAAATATAAGTAGGTACAGTTTAGAATGTTTTTTGGTTGATATAATTAAGGTAAATTAAATAGTTGGCCGTAATAAATTTAACTTGTAGATGAAGTAATTTAGATTTTGATCCGCGCTTCTTATATGTTTATTGACCGTAAAGTCAAATATATAATGAATTTATGTCTATTATTAGATATCTGTAATATCTAATATTTGTTCTATTATTTTATTTCATTCTTGTAAAAATTAATAAAACGAATATTGTAAAAGTATCTTAAAATCAAAAACATTGTTATTAACCCATTGAGAAGCGTGGTTTCTATTTTTCGATTATGCACAAATGGGTACTTAAATTTTTTTTAAAAAATTAAAAATTTAAACGGAGTTAAATTAAGCCAAATTTCATAAATAATCGATCATATCATATATCTCTAGAATCTAAAAATAGAAATCGAACCGAGAACCAAATAGGTACTTAACTTTTTATATATAAATTGTATACCTACAAATATTAATTATATATAATATCTAAATACTAAATAACCTAAAATACTATTTTTAAAAAAAATTAGACAAATCAATGAATTACTTGAATAATTTTCTTAAAAATATTCAACCTATCTGATATTTAAATCGTAGGCTAGTTTACATTTGAAATTAAATTAAAATATATCATGTAAAATAAATAAACATATCTTATTTAAATCAATTTTTGACCAATTTTGTTTGAATCTCGAACTTATAATATTTAGACCCATTTAATTTTTATATATCATTAAATTAATCATTTAGTTCTTGTATAAGAATGTAATATCAAAATTTAATAATTGATTGCATATAACTAATTAAACAAAAGTGTAGTAGTTATAGTATCATGAATATTTATTGTTAGAGAAAATTTATAATAGATTATGGAAAGTAATAAATGAGTTTATTTAAACTGTAAAGATTTATATAGTTAGAGAAATATAAAGGAATACCAAAGAATGTTAGTCTAATGAAAGGGTCCAAACAACTTTTTTAAGTAGATTTATTCAGATTCCTTCTCTTTTAATAGTATAGATTCATGTTGACTCGTCAATCGAAGCATAGAATGGTAAACCAAAAAATAATACAGTAAATAATAATTACTTTTCAAAAAAGAAAAAATAAAATATTATTTCTATATATTATGTTTTTTTTGAAGAAAATTTATAAATATTATGTTATAGGAACTTGTGATGGCGGCGCCGGACAATCCATCAAACGCCGTGGAATGGGCCATGGCGGAGATGATAAACAAACCGGAGATCCTCCAGAAAGCAATGGAAGAGATCGAAAGAGTCGTCGGAAAAGAAAGACTCGTGCAAGAATCCGACATACCAAAACTTAACTATCTCAAAGCTATTATCCGTGAAGCTTTTCGTCTTCATCCCGTCGCTGCCTTTAATCTCCCACACGTGGCACTCTCCGACACAACCGTCGCTGGTTACCATATCCCTAAAGGAAGTCAAGTTTTACTTAGCCGTTACGGTCTTGGTCGTAACCCTAAAGTTTGGTCTGATCCACTAAGCTTTAAACCGGAGAGGCATCTCAATGAGTGCTTGGAAGTGACTTTGATCGAGAACGATCTCCGGTTTATCTCGTTTAGTACCGGGAAAAGAGGATGTGCTGCTCCTGCATTAGGTACTGCGATAACTGTCATGATGCTCGCTAGGCTTTTGCAAGGGTTTAAGTGGAAACTACCCGGCGGTGAGACACGTGTCGAATTGATGGAATCGAGTCATGATATGTTTCTCGCGAAGCCCTTGGTTATGGTCGGAGAATTGAGGTTGTCGGAAAATCTTTACCCATCGGTAATCTGAGGTGACAGTCATGTACGACCATGATATATATGTATACTATGAATAATTATATTTATCCAAGTGTACAATCTAAAATTTGGTCATTTATCGACCAGGCCTTGTCGGTTATGGTCCTTTTTGGAAACACTTGGAGTGTGTTTTCTCTCATTTTACGGTTTTTTTGTTCCTCTTGCTTTTTAACGTTCTCTATATATTTTAGATTGGGAAAATTTGCCAAATGACTAAAATCCAATGCCAAATTAAGAGAATGATATTGATTTTGACATTATTTAAAAATTAACATTTAATTCATACCAAACCGATTATACTCCTAAGTGATGATAAAAGTTACCGGTTACACTTTGAAATGTAGATGACGTCGACCCTTAATAATATTACTACAAGAAATTATTTATTTTTTGACCACTAAATTAGAAAGAAATTGGTCAGATTCCTCTACACTAACAGGCACAGATTCACTAGTACTAAGTATATTTCCTATATTAACTTTTCCATGTAAATATCAAATTTTATAACTAGAGGTAAACCCACATTGATACAAATAACTCCACCTTTTTTATGGAAATAAATTTACTATTATCACAACGAAGAAGGACAAAACATCTTATCTCCTCTCAAAGTAATATCTTAGTTTGCGGCGAATCGCATAAATTCCTTAAGCCCTTCCGCAAACTCCTCTGAAATCTGTCCATTTGAATCCTATTGATTGTTTATCCAAGAACGAAAATTAGAGATATGTGAAGACATTTTTAGTGTGTTGCTTTCTTAATTTCTGTGAGTTGCTTGGAATGAGGTGAATTAATTATATAGAGCTTGTGTGTTTAACGGCTAGTTTGTGAACGTAATTAAAATCAAAATTTTGATCATTTCATGACCACTTTCTAAACAGCCACAAACGGCTATTTTTGAAATAAAAAATGTGACTACGTTTTGATCAAATGCTGACCATGTTTCTGACCATATTTTAATTGTCAAGATTTGGTCACAATTTTGTGACCATTTTCTAATCGATTTTTTTTCGTCATATTACTGACCACTCTTTGTCCACATCTTTTGATCATCAGTAAGTTGTCGGTTTGTGGTCACAAATGTTTTTGATCAGTTTAAGTGGTCAGAATTTTGGTCAAAAATTATTATGTTTTTTGTAGTGTATAGACCAAAATTACATACTCCTTTTTACAACTACAGTAAAAAAGCTGAATCACGTCACAATATGTTTTACCGTAAACATAAATATTAAACTCTTATCCATGTTAAGTAAACCCAAACCTAAATAGACACAATCGACTAAATACATAAACCAATACAAGAAAGAATATTAACATATTTGATTTTATCTATACTATATAAGAGCAAAATAAAATAGAATTAAGTTTTAAAAATATGATTAACTCAAATAGTTCCTACTAAACCAAAGCTAAACATAATTACTAAATCCTAACCCATGTTTCCAAACCCTCTAATAACTAAACTTTAAATTCTAATCACTAAACCCTAAATCCAAATATAAACCTTAAAATCAAATATCAAAATCATAATATTTTATAATATCAAACTATATCTTATAAATATGAATTATAGAATAGACTTGAATTAAAAATTAGTAAGAATGCATTTGTCATTCTCATACACATGGTTTAAAGAATAGTGGCGGAATTAAGTTGAAAGCATACAATGTCAAATACAAAATACGAAAACAACATATATACAAAGCATAGAGGTACACATAGGTTACTCTTCCTTGGTTGAGAAACATAGTAAATGTGTGGTTACAATACATAGTATGGATATAGTATGGCCCCCAAAATATTAGACTCTACCCAACATATCAAATACTAAAGTCAACCCAAACTCGTAATTACTAAATCTAAACATTAATCAATGATCTATAAACCCAAATAGAATCTATATTATATGCTGCAAATTTCTCGTACCGTACTAAACATAGTATGGAACCCTAAAAAATAGTTTAGAAGGAGCAGTTTACCCATTTTCATTAATTGCTATTATGCTTAAATATTAAAACCATAGAAAAAACTCTACTTAAAAAATTTAAACCCTAATCACTCATTTATAAACCCAAATACAATCTGTATAATATGCTACAAATTTCTCATTCTGTATTAGATATAGTATGGAACCTTTGTAAATAGAATAGTATAGGAGTACATCTTTTGTTCATCTCTTATCTCTTCTTCATTTCCTGCAATTCAACAATCATGTATTCAAGTCTCTTTCCTCAACCTTTTTCTTGTCTTTGCCATATCTAATCTTACATGCAATAGAAAATGGATGTACGGATGCAATGCCATCATCGCAACTGTAGATTTCTGAATCGGTGAATTCTTTGTCTCTTTTCTTCGACGGAGTCCTCAGAATTGGCCTGTGATATACCATGATTTTGACCCACTTTTAGTCATGGTATATTATTGTTTTTATAACTATTTATTATATTATAGAAGCTATTAAGCATATTTATAAGTTCAGGAGTATTTTGGAAGAAATTGATGTTTTTGGAGCATTTTAGAGAGAATTGGAGAAATCACTCGATTTGGATATCGACAATAGAACAAGGTCGACACAGAGTGATCAATATCGATCGATATGCTCAATGCTGTATCGATCGATCCCGAAGACCAATTCGTGAAGCAGCCGACTTGAAACCCAAGACTTTACCAAATTACGATTATGCCCCTGATGAGTTTTAACCTAAGTATTTATACTTTGCCGAGGTGTTTTAGGCTAAGGAGAGAATTCTTGTATTCTTTTCACAACAAAAGGTTTTTAGGATTTTTAGATGTGGAGAAAAGATCCAGAGAGATTTGTGACTGCAACTCCATTGTTTTCTATCTAACTATATTTCTGAAGTTTTATTACTTTGTTTGTGTTATGATTTGCTTAACTATGTCTGAGTAATTCACTTGTTAGAGTTAGGGTTTAAATAGGTTAGTGAGATTAGCCCCAACTATAGGATCGCTTGTTGTGCTATTCACTGATAGGATGTTCTTAATGTCTATGTTCTAGAATTGCTAACTAGAAACCTGAATCTAGGAGTTTAGCCTGTTTAACCAATAGTTAGACAATTCTAAACATCATGAATCTATTCTATTAAGCTAGGATTTTCTATAGTATAACGATAGCTTGATCTAAGGGTCTATAATGAGTATAGATTAACTCGCGAATAAAGTTTAACTAGCCGCATCGATCGATATTCCCATTAGAAATTGATCGATGTCGAGTAAAGTGTATCGATCGATATTCTTATAGAGTATCGATCTACACTGCTATTGATCGGACATTATTGTTTGTGTCAATAGAATCTAGTTAATATATTTATTTAGTAACGCGAACGTTTTGCTTGATTTGTTATTTAGAGGTTAAGCTCTTTAATACCATACAAACAACTAATTAGCACCTACAGGATTATAATCTCCAACACCTGAATAAAAACCCTAAATATAACACCTTTCTAATTAAGTTCAACCCTCAATCTATTTAATGGATTAATTATCTTGCTTAATTAGGATATTTACTAATTTTTGTTTACCTCATTACTGTAATTTTACTTTTAACCAATCTAACATTATTACTTGATTAGATTTAATTGGTGTCCTAGCTCATTGTGGGTTTGATCCCTAAATACTACAACTAATCTCTTGTTTGTGATAGTAAGTTACTCCTTAGGATAATTTGAGTGGTATCAGCCTGCTCCTCCAAAATTTGTTGACGGAGATGTGCTCGGAAGCTTCATAATCGCAGAAAGAAAAAGAAGTTGTTACGCTCCCTCACTTATTACGTGTTACATATTTGATACAGTGAAGAGTTTTCGATAAAGAGATAGTCACGTCCACATGTTCCAATAAATAATATCTAATATATATTTACCTTTTTTTTTGTGAGCAAAATTGCATTATTAGAGCATCTCCAAAAGACACTCTATAACTTCAAATATGAAGTTTTTGACTCTCCAAAAAGAAACTCTAAAATTTCAAATTTGAAGTTTTGAGTAGTGAAACTTCAAATATAGAGTGTCACTACTTAAAACTTCAAATTTGAAGTTTCAAACTTTTATTTGCATTTTGGTTCTTACAATTACATATCATATTTATAACTCTTAAATATTTTGTTTTTATCATTTTAATCTTTAAATTTTTTATCTCATAAATATTTCAAAATTTTTTTAATAAATTTAAATTTTACACATAATTAATTTTTAAAAAAATATCAAAATAAGATTTCAAATATTTTAAAACTAGAATTAGACAACAATAATATTACAAGATTTAATGTAGTATTTTGTTCATAATTTAATATTTAATTATATATTTTCTTTATAATTTTTTATTTTAGTGTAACATTTTATCAATTAATATTATTCTAATATTTTATATATGTACTAGTTATTTATAATAATTCTATGAATTTAATTAGTTATAATAAATATAAGGACCATAGTATAAAATACAAATAGTTTTGAAGTTGAGTTTGAAGTTTTGTTTTTGGAGCACAACACCTTTAAACTTCAAATGTAGAGTTTTACAAACTTTAAAATAGAAAGTCTTTTTGGAGATGCTCTTATACATTATACAACACATATTGTTGAAAAATAGGGCAAATGGACAATAAGTGAATTATAGTTTTTTTTATGCTACTGATACAATTTCCCTTTAGATTTTGGCTTTACGATTAATAATTCTTTTTTTTTTTTGTAATAGGCTTTACGTTGATAATTAATAAGTAGGTAATTGCCTCAAATCTCGATCTTTCGATCGGTTTGTTTTCACATCGATGTGAAGCCATGATTTAAATAATTTTACGATTCCAGAATTTTTTTTTTTTCGTATGGACCTATTTGGAATCTCGTTTATGTCAAACAAAATGTACTAATTACTATGTCGGACCTCGTGACAGAAATATCAGGAAAACACCCGACGTACTATGAATAACTATATTTATGTAAGTGTATGACCTAAAGTTTGGTCATATCATTAACCAAACTTTGTTCTGTTTTGGTCCATTTTGGAAACACTTGAAGTGTGTTTCCTCTTGCTTTTGTTTAAACGTTCTATATATATATTTTAGATTTTGGTTTTACGTTCTTTTTGGTGTAAGTAGGTATCTCCTTTCGGTTTGAATTCACATCGATGTGAAGCCATCATGCAAAACCTCAATACACTTATATGTATAATCAGTTTTCCATTCCAAAATACATTT